TTTTTTTGATATTAAATTATTTAATGAGAATTATATATTCTTAATTTTAAGAGCAGTAATGCTTTTAAGTAAAACATAATTAATTATTAATTCTAAAAAGAAAAAAAAAAAAAAAATATTTTATTTATAATTATTAAAAATTTAATAAATAAAATCTCAACTATTTTATTAATTTTGAAAACATAAAATAATACAAAAGATTAAAAATTTGATATTTTTAATTATTATTATATAAAAATAAAAACTAAAAACTTAATACTATGTTAATTTTTTTTAAATAATAAATAAAAAATAAAAGTATTGACAATATCAATATATATATTTTTAGTATAGATATTTATTTTTTTAAATTTGTCTTATTATTACAAGAAATCTAATATAAATTATTTAATTATTAATTACTAATCTAAAATTGTGGTCAAAATTAATAACAAAAAGTATATTAAAAATATTATGTATATTATTTTTATAATTAAAATCATTATTGTAGTATTTATTTAATAAAATTTTTATTTAGTTAAAAATATAAAATCAAATTTATTTATAATATAATAAAATAAAATTAGCATATATAAATATTTATTATAAAATAATAGGTATTAATATTTATAAAAACATTTATATATAAAATTATAATTTTTTATTTCTATTTTTATTATTTAATAAATTTATTTATCTATAAAATAAAAACATAAATATACGTATCATTTATTAAAATGAATATAAATCCAGAATTATAAGATGATCAATAAACACTTAATAAAGTATATTCTTATAAAGATCTTTTAAATTTTTAATCCGCAAACATGTATAGCAGTTTTGGTAAAATGAAGTTATCAGAAAAATAATCAGCTCCAATATATGGATTTGGAACTGCTGGCAGATAATAATAATAAAAAGTATTTTAAAGCAAAGAATTAGCAAAATAGAATTTTGTTGGTAAATATTTTATTTTTAAAAATCCTATAATTAATTGTTTTTTTTTAAAAAAAAGGAAAAACTTCTCCAGGACCTGCATATAATATTAGAGGTAGTGATACTTTCATTTTTAAAAATGTAAAAAATAAAATAAAAAATAACTTAAAGATTATAATTAAATACTTATATTTAAGAATCCAGAATGGGTAATTGGTACATAATAAAGAAATACATTAAATACAGGCGCAAAATATGACTATTATTTGAGATAAGATAAAGATGTATATTTTTTTTTTAAACAAAAAAATGAAATGAAATGAAACAAAATAAAATTAAAGTTTTATCCAAATAATGCCGATGTAAATAGAAGATCTCAACCTCCTAATGTTAAAATTGGATTAGAATTGAGAGTTTTTATTAAAAAAAAAATATGTTATTTTCTTTCTTTCTTATTTTTTTTACTTTATTTTAGTTCTAAAATGATCCCAGAAGATAAAGAGGTACTCCAGGACCTTAATATAATCCTTCATTTAGATATGATTAAAAAAATCCTCCAAAGTTTACATTTGGTTAAAAAAGAGAAGTTGCAGGCTAATCTCCTTTAGTTTATATGGGTTCAACTCCTAATTTAGTCGGACCAGGTAGTTATATTTTAAAAAATGTTCCTAAAACTTCAAAAATATAAAATGAACCTAAGTATTCTATACCTAAGGCAAAAAGATTCGTAAATTAAAATCAAAATTGGTCAATTTCACATATTAATTAACCGTAAAATATTAATATATGCAAATTAATAAATTGGTATATATTAATTATTTAGATAATCGAATGGAGTTTAATATAACTCAAAAAAAAATTCGAATCCATAATTTACTATCGGAAAATCAACTAGAGGTATATTTATTTAATCTTTTATCATAATTTTTTTTGATTTTTATAAAAAAAGATGCGAAACTTGGAATTTTTAAAAATATGATGGCAACTAAAGAAGTCCACTTAAAAATACCAATGCCTAAATTTTGAATAATACAAATATATAAAATATAATTTTATTAATATAATTATGTGATTTTTTTAATAATATATATTAATTATTAATAATAATGTTTTTACTTTTTATAATTAAATATTAATAATTTTATTTCATAATTAATTAAAAATAATTTTTATATATTAATTATATATATAAAATAATCAAAAATATTTTTAATGTTAAGAAAATTAATTTTCCTCTATAAAAATTTATTTTGTTTTAATAATTCCTTTAATAGAAATGAATTCTTCTAAAATCTATTTTGAAACTTTTAAAATAATAGTTTCTTTAAATAAAAAAAATGGAAAATATTTAGAGCTTTGATAGGTTTTATTATAAATAAAAACAATAATATTTAAAGTTGATTAAAATTTATAACATAAAAATAATTAAATATATATTTTCTTTTAATAAGATTTATTATTTATTTCATTAAGTTAATTTTTTGATTAAAAAAAGTAAATATTAGAATAAATAGATGATTCAGAAGTAATATTAAAAAATTGTATAGTATATTTATTTTAACAAAAATTTTATTATTTAAAATATAGAAAAAAAAAAATATTAAAAGAAAAAATAAAATTATCTAAAAAAATAAAATTAAAAGTATCCTATTCTAATTATTAAAATATTTACGAATTATCAATATCTAGAAATTTCATATAAAATTAAAATATAACATCTTGTTTAAAGAAAATAATACAGAATTATATTGAATAATTTTTATTATAAAAAAAAGAAATAAAAAAAGCAATTTTTAAAAACTCAATAAAACAAAAAAAGGCCATAATTTATATTTTCTAGTCTTTTTATTTTTTTAGATTGTATTTTATAAAAATATATAAAAAAAAATAGTGTTAAAAAGTAATATGTTTAAACCATTTTATTTCTATATATATATATATATATATATTAATAATTTAAACAAAAACTAGTTTAAATTTAAAATATTAAAAAAATTCTAAACAAAAACTAACTTTTATAAATGGATCTAAATATTTTTATAAAAAAAAATCATCTATAATTACTTTCATTAGATTATTTTTAAGGTTTTTGATTATTTTTTTTATTTTCTTTAACCTAAATATTATAAAATTTCAAACTTCTATAATCATTTTTATCGTAATTAGCAAGAGCAGCAGCAAGTCTATGCGCAGCATTTACTTCTTCTTGACTTAATTTTATTTCCTATTGATTATTACCAAAAAGAAGTTTGCTTTAAAGTTCTTTTTTGTACAAATTTGATACAGGAGCTTTTTTATCCCCTAATAATGCAAAAGGTTCTGCTTAATTTTCTTCTTGAATAGGCTAAATGTTTTTTTAAGTAACAGTTTATATGTTTTTTTAACTTTTAGTATTATCAATTTTAACCATGCTTACTTAAGAATTAGTAATCTTTTACAATCCATCTTAAATTCGAATATCCGTTTAAGATTTTACGATAGTTTAGGCATCTAATTTTAATCCTTATTCTTCTTTTAACAAAGGCCTAAAATCAGAATCAAAATTTTATTATTCATCCTTATAAAATTTTTATATTTTTTAATTAAATAAAAATAAAATATATTTAATATGAAAAAAATATACCTAATTTTAATATGTATTAACTTTAAATCTTCTGTTATTTATTCCTTATTTTTGTCTTTTTTCTTAAAGTTGCTATTCTTTAATTAAAACATCTTTTTTTAAATCATTAATATGTTTTTCATATTATTCATAATATTTTTAATAATTAATATTGAGTTTCCATTCTGGATTGCTTTTTAGACTTTAAAGTTTCTATACATTAATTTTATCTAAATAATAAAAAGGACTAAATTCTTCTTCTTCTGATTTGTTTGGATGGAAATTAGCATAAATATCATCATTTGTATTTGCTTATTATTTATCTAACTAATCAACTTATGCAATAGATGATGATTTAGCTTAAAAAGTCATCGAAACAGGAATATTAGTATTAGTTTGTGTAGTTTATTTAATATTTTTATCTTCTATTCTTTTATTTCTGAGTGATTCTTTTCTTTTTAAATCAATTCTTTCTTCTAAATTAGAATCATAAATTTCTTCAGTTCCACTTCTTTTAAATGCAATTGGCCTAGGTTCAATTTTATCATAGTTTTATTACAATTAATCAATAAGATTTCCTGTGTTAGAGTCCCAAATTTTGACTTTCTTATCATAAGCAGTAGTAATAAGAAGGTTTTCATCAAAAATATACTCAATTGATTTAATCATCTCGAAATGCGCCCTTTAAGTCCAAACTTCTTGTGAAGAAACTCCCTCAAAAGATGGTGGAGAAAGGAAAGATTTATTTCTATTTCCAGATTTGTCTTAATGGTTAATATAAGATTTTTCCAATGCATGAATAATTTAAGAAATATCAAAACATTTAATAAAGCCCTTATCATCAGAAACAAATAAACGTTTCGTCGCATTACATAAAATACTATTTGAAATACTTATATTTTAGTTTGTAATTGTTGGATTCTCTTTCTTTTTTTATGTTAGCTACGATACTATTGGCTACTAAATGTTAATGTTCAACTAATATTGTTATTGTTCTTTTTTATCTTCTAATTCTTTCTTAGCTTTTTGTATTGATTCTGTATCATCGTTTTTAAAGCTATAAACTTTTTAAAATTTATATAATAGAGGTGGCAAAGCTATAAAATTTATTTTTCCATTTGTTGTTGTTGTGATCATATATGGAATTTTCTCAATGCAATTTAAAGATGTTATTTCTTCATATTGCGTTAATTCTGAATAACTTCCATTACATTTTCCTGTATCGCTTTCATAAAATTGTGTTATGCCTGTATTTGTTGCAACTACTATTAATTTACTTAACTCATTAAAAGCCAAGGAGGTTATTGTAACTTCTTTTAATTCAAAAGTTCTTATAAGTTCATTTTCACCGAAATCATTATCTACGGTCATATTAATCTTATTATCCATTGCAGCTGAAATAAAAGTTTTAATCGAAGAAGCATGTACAATATGTGTAACTTCAGCTGTATGTCTAATATATATATATATATATATATATATATAAATATATTTATATAATGAATGAAATAGTATAAATACTTGGGCAATGATTTAATCATAGCACCATTATAAGTATTATATATACCTATTTATCCTAAAGAGTCACCTATAAGCATTCTTCTTTTAAGATTATCTAAAGCAAAACAAGTAATTTCTCCATTAGTGATGTCAGAAAATATTTTTTTCACATCTCCAGTCAAAGCATTCCATAATTTTATTTTATTACCCGCTGGTGTATAAAAAGATAATTAAGAAGGTACAAAAGCACAACAAATAGCAACAAAATCATCGACAGAATTCGGATTATAATTTTTATCATATTCATAAATAGATATTGTTCTTCCACAAAAAGCCAATTTTAACGGTTTAGGAATATAAGTTAAACATTAAGGGTTAAATTTATGCTTTTCATCTGATGTTTCTATAGAGAAGGTTTAAACATTACTAAATTTTTTAATATCAGTAATTCTTACATTCCCATCGGAATCCAAAGAAACAATCTAAGAAGTTCCTTCAATTACTTTTACAACAAGTAAAGGACTTGAATGTCCTGAAATTTTATAAATTAAATTATCAATGTAAGGGTTCCACACACAAATATTATGATCAAACCCAGCTGAAAAAAGCAAAATCAAAGCTTCATTAAAAGACAACGAAGTAATACCTCTAGAATGTTCTTTATAGACTCTTTTTTTCTTATTAATAATTGTATCCCAAAGAATTAGATTCCCATCAAGTGCTGCGGTAGCCAAAAATTACAATTTTGGCATCGCAATCATGTCCATAATTACTTCAGTGTGCGCACAATCTTTTTCTAGATCTTTTTCTGTATCAGTTTTAAAATACCAAATCACAATATTCCCATTTTTCTAACCACAGTATAATATTTCATTTAAAGAATCCCATGCAAGACAGTAAATTTCGTTTTTAAATTCATGCTCAATCAGTTCTTCTTCATTATCAGGTTAACAAGCTAAAATCCATCCATTAGAAGTATTTTTCCATCCTCGAACATATTTATCATTAGAAGAAGTTAATAAAATTTAATATTTTTTATCTGGAATATATAAAATATCTAAAATCATAGTTTTTAAATCAATAAAATTTTTTTTAGTTTCTACATGAATTAAACCCTCTTCATCCTTTTTAACTGTAGATGTAGTCACGAAAAGTGATTTTGGAATAACTTTTAATGTTTTATTATTTATAATTCCATTTTCTGGATTCATAAAAATGATCTCATCTGATCCTTCTTCATATAAGGCCAATCGATCAATGTGTGGAATATAAATAAGCTTCGTTAACAAATTATTGAATTTATGTGTTAATAATTTATTATTTATTGCTTGTTGAGGCTTTGTGTGAGATTTAGTATATTATTTTATTTCATCTGCTTTTGTTTTTATATTATTTAATACTGTTGCCTTTTCTATTACATAATTAGTGAATTCGTCCCATTCTAAAATTTCATTGCCGTTCAAATCTATTTCTTCAAATAAATTTGTTAGGCATCTCATCAGTTTCGTTTCGCGATTCGATATATCCATTTGCCATGATAATAAATGCTCTTTTACTACTAATATAAATTCACTTAATTTCATTTCTAAATTTCGAATCCCGAATTCATTCCTTAGAACATTAATTGTAAATGGATCAAAATTTAGGGTCAGATCAGCAAGTAAATTTTCATCGTTTTATTTTATGTTTTTATATGTGGTTCGTGGAGAATATATTGGGACAGTGTGATCTAATTTATTTAATTTTTTACTTAATATACTCATATATATTTATTTTTCTTTTTTTATTATAAGTTGCTTTTTTTTAATAATACTACTTTTTAATATTTTATTTATAAAATTATTTATAAAATTCGATATTTTTTTAAAAAAAATTTTAAATAAAATAAAATATTTTATTTTTTTATATTTAAAATAAAAATTTAATTTTTTTCATTTCATTTATAATATAGATTAATATTTTTTTTTTAATAATTATGAACATATGAATAATATTTAATAAAAATGCAAGCGATAATTATTTTTTGTATTATTTTACAATATATTTTTTAGAAAACAATAATAAAAGTATAACAGCGTATTAGAGTAATTATCTATTTTTTTGGTATATTATTGTTTAAGTGGTTGAAGTAAAAATAAATAAATAATTAATGCTTTTTGTACTAGCAATTTTTTTTGATTTCTATTGGAAAAATTAATTTTACTTTAATAATTATATTTTTTTAAAAAAAAGATTTGCTAATTTTTTTTTTCTTGAAAGATAACTAATGTTTTTTTTTTTTTTGATAAAATCGTGGTTTGTGCAACCTTTAATGAAAACCTAGCACGAATAAATTCTATGGTTGGAAATGAAGAATTGGCAAAGGATTCATGGGAGAAGCGTTGGGTGTCTTTTGCTATCGTTCTTTCCCTAAGTATATTGATAATATAATAGACCAGTCACGTGAGAATTAGGTATGCCCCCGCCAATAAATAAACTACCTAACGGCTATTGATAATACCTGGAGGCTCCCCCAGTTAAGGGAAAGGAAATTCTATAATTGCTCGTGATTTGCTATTTTGAAAAAATAAAATTATATTATATTTTTTTCCTCTCTTTAATTATGTATTACATATTTGTTTTTGTTTGTTTGCTATTTTTTTACTATTAATATATAGTATTATCATAATTATTGTATTTCAATTAGATTATGTGCAGTAATCTGCTCTGATTCTATAGTTTAACACCTAAAAATAACTTACTATAAAAAATAAATAAAAATTAATTTTTTTAAAAAAATTATATAATTTTTATTATCAATAATATTTATTTTATTATTTAAAAAGGTAGCATTAAAATTTGTGCGAATCTAAAAATGAAAGAAAATATTTTAATTATATAATATTGATTTGATACCACTATAAAAATCTCTATTGAGTATCAAAAAAGGCTTATAAAAATAACATTATGTTATTCAGCACAATTAATAATCAATTAAAATATGATTATAATTTAAATAATATATAAGTGTTTAAAATTTTTTAAGTTATCTATAAAATAAAAAAAATTAAATTAATCTGATTTTAAAATTTAAAGGAAGTTTAAATAATTAAAATATACAAATATTATAAATATTCATAATTTATATAAATTATTGAAAATAAAATAAAAGTTAAAATTTTAATTAAATAATAATAAAACACATAATTTAATAAAGATAATCATTATTAAAATAAATACAAAGTTTAATATTGTTTATTTTAAACTTTTATAATTTTTTGTTTTAATAGTTGGTTGCTATTAAGATTTGAAATAACTTTTAAGATTTTATGATATATTTTAAATTTATGCTCTTTTTAAAATATATAAAGCAGCTTTTAAGACATTGCTTTTAAAAATTATTTTTTAAGACTGCCCTTAAAATTTCTTATTATTTATATTATTGTGTAATTTAAAATAAATAATTTTTCTTATTTAAAAGAAAAATAAGTAGATTCAGATAAATGATTTATTTTTAATGAAATATTATATAAATAATTTATATATATATTTTTATAAAAATTATCTTTTATTAATTTTTTATATTTTAAAAACGTTTATAAAGAATAAAAAGAAATAAAAAATGACAATTATTTTATTTACATTTATATGCATTATTTATATATCCCTAATAAAAACAATCAAATAATATGGGGCTGTTTTAAACAATCATATAACTTTAATTAAAAATTCAAGTTAATAGTAAAGTAAATTAAAACAATTAATCCAATTAAAATTTAAGATTATAGGTAAGAATGAAAATATAGATAATTTAGGATTTTTTTTATAAATTAATGATGAAATTTCAAATCAAAACTAAGTTTAAAACGGAGATATTCAACTTTTTTTTGAATAATTTAAAAATATAGTAATTTATAAATAAATGAAAATATTAAATATAAATTATTAAATTGTACAATAAATAAATATAATATATTTTAAATTTGAATAAAATGATATTATACTTTTTATTTTTTTCAATAAATATTATAAATATTGAAATTGTTTATAATTTCTTAATTATTATAAAAATAAAGTACTTCATAATAAAGTATATGATAAGTATAATATTATAAAAATATGTTTATCAATAAATATTAAAATATAATAATTTATTCATTTTTTTCTTAAGTTTTATATTATTATCAATTATTTTATAAAAATAAAAGCATTAGGAATTTTAATAAAATTATATAGCCAATATATAATTATAAGGAATGTCTTAAAAAAATAAGTAAATATTTCAAAGTATAGATAGTTCAAAGGAAACAAGTCAAATAAAATTTGAAGATTAAAAATAGCCTTAAAATATAATTTAAAAATAGGGAAAAAAAATATAAACTGATGAACAGATATTGAAGTAAAACATTAATTAATAAACTGTAGATTAACTAAAATAGTAATCTGTATAAGAAAATAAAAAAGAGAAGACTTAATAATAGTAAATAGAAATAAATCAAAATAATTAAATTTAAGATGAATAATTTAATAAAATACAAAAATAAGAATAAGAAAATAAAATTTACCTGACCAAATAGTAAAATTCTTAAAAAATACAATAATAAATTAATGAAGATATTTATCCTTAAAAATAATAGTAATTAAAAAAAAATTAAGGTGATTTGGATGATGAATTACAAATACATTAAATAAAGAAATAATAATAATAAAATCAACCAGAATCTTAAAAAAAAATTAACAGTATTAGCAAATAAAAAAAATTTGATTTCAAACTAAAACTTATCAATCTAAAATAATAATAATTAATAAACAGATATATAAGAAAATAAAAATAATAATAAATCTCCAATTAAAATTATTAATAAATTAAATTAAAATACATAAGAAGATAATAATAAAAATTATATAAAAATAGACTAATAACAAAATATTAATTATAATTAAAATTAAAATCAAAACTAATAAAATATTTATATAATGGCTATTTTATTAATTAGCGCTATAAGTATTTTAACTATAAGTTATCTATTTTATAAATTAAATTAGTAAGTAAAATTAATTAATAATATGGCTTATCAATAAATTTCATAATAACCAAATGGTATAGATTTTGTCAATAATTAAAATAAATTAAAGATAAAATAATGATTAAAAACCATGAAAAAATTATAATATATTTTTTAAAATAAAATATATAATTAATTTAATTAAGTTAAAATCAAAATATTTATAAAAAATATATATCAAAATTAATTAATTTATATTTTTTTATAATATTAAATATATTTTAAATTATAATATATTTTTTGTATTTAAAAATTTTAATATTTATTTAATATTAGAATATTAAATACATTTTAAATAATCATTTAAAAAATAATAAAAATTCGAAATATGACGCCATAAATAAGAATATTAAATTATATAATTAAGTTTATTTAAATACTTTTGTATACATTCAAAAAAAAATTCTAGTATAAATAAATAATATTTATAATGTTTTTTTTTCAAAATAAAATATAAAAAAATAATCAAACAAATAATTTTTGATGTAAACTTATTTAATATAATTTATTAAAATTTTCTATAAATAATAAATATAGATTACCTATATCGTATAATTAATTCTATATTTATTAAATATTAAAAGATAATGATATTTATTAATATAAAATAAAATATTATTATTATTTTATATATTTTTTTTATTGATAAATTGAATTATATCTATAAATTTAAATTAAAATTAAAATTAAAATTAAAATTATTTTATTAATTAATATTATTATATATTTAATGCAAAATAATATATTGTTTATTTGTTTATTTCTACAATAGTAATACACTTCAAATATATATCAAAATGAAGTAATATAAATTAAATCGATTTATATTTTATAATATATTAATTATATTAAGATATATTGATTATTTATAAAGAAAAAAAATAATTAAAAACTCATTGTATGTTTATTTATATATGCATAGACAACTATTTAAAAATTTAATAAATCTATATTTTATACATATATAACTAAATTATTTGTATTGTAAACAATAGTTAAGTATAAGATTGATTATTAAAAAAAAAATAGTGCAATTAATTATTAATTATTTATATAAAATAAAAAAATTTAAAATAATTATTTTATATAAAATTTTCTATGTATTCTAATCCAATATTATTATATAATAATTTTTAATGAAATATTATTTTTAAAATAAACATAAATATAAAACAAAATATATGTATATTATATTTAAAAATAAAATTTATAAAATAAAATATTTTAACTTTTTATTATTAAAAATAAATTATTCTAAAAGATTTATTAGATAAATGAATAAAAATATAAAAAAAATTATAATTAATAAAGAATATTATAATTTTATTTTTAAAAAATAAATATAAATATATAAAATAGAAAAAAAAAGACTATAAATAATAATTAAATATAATAAAAATAAATTAGAGTATAAACAAGAAAAAAAATTAATTAAGATTAAATAATTTTAAAAATAAAATAATATAGTAAATTTTAATAAAATAAGTAAATAAAATAAAAAAAAAAAATATATTAATAAAATAAATAACAAATATATATATAAAAAAATAAAAATT